TCCAACCTTTTTATATGGATGCTCAATTCTTATCCTATCTCTAAGAGTAAAGCCACTCATCCACTTGAGCATCCTCATCTATACAACACTTAACTTAATATTATGCATCTCTTTTAAAGGCCAACATTCTGCACCATAAGGCATTACAAGTCTAACTACAATCATATAAAATTTTCCCTTAAGTTGGAGAGGGACTTTTCTAACACATAATAAGCCTGATGCATTCATCCACATCAACCATCCAACTTGAATTCTACTAATAATATCCCCATCTATTTCACCATCACTCTGAATAATAAATCCAAGAAATCTAAAATGTGTGCTCTTATTAATGACTTGATCGTCTAAAGTCACAATCCCTCCACTAGGTCTATTATTAATAAAAATACACTCCATATATTCAATTTTAGATCTACTCAAACAAAAGCTTTTAGACTCTAAGATTGACCTCTATAATTCAATTTTACCTTCAACTCCCTCTCAATCTTATCAACAAGAAGAATATCATAAAAAAAAACATACACCAAGGTACAACCTCTTACAAATGTCTAGTGAGAACATCCATGACTAAATCAAAAAGATATGGTCTTAAGGCCGGCCGTTGATGTAATTCAACTAAAATAGGAAAATACTTTTTCACCTTCTGTTTGAACACAAGTAACAACACCTACATACATATCTAATGGCTTGAATATAAGCATTATTACCCCATTATTATATAAAACTTTTCATAGCACTTCTCTTGGAACTTTATCATGTGTTTTCACTAAATCAATAAAAATCACATGTAGTCTTTATGCTTCTTCATCAAACCTATCAATAAATGTATAGCTTCCATAGTAGACCTACCTTGCATGAATACAAATTGACTTTGTGAAACATTAGTGTCACGTCGCAACCTATGCTCCATAACTCTCTCCCATAGTTTTAAAGTATGAAACATTAACATAATTCCTCTGTAATTTGTATAATCTTGTGCATCACCTTTATTCTTAAAAAAGGGAATCAACACACTCATTCTTCACTCATAGGGCATCTTTTCATCTTTCAAAATAATATTAAAAAGTTTAGTAAGCCAAAAAATTCCTTCATCTCCTAAGCATTTTTATACCTCTATTGGAATATCATCAGGTCCAACAATTTTTTCACACTTCATCTTCTTTAAAGCCTCTTTAACTTTAGTTTTATTAATATGGCAATAAAAATAAAAACTTTTTTTTTTCATTTAGGGTGCTAAGATCACTAAAGTCAATTTCATTTTAATAATCTTCATTAAAAAATTAGCAAAATATCTCATCCATCTTTTTTTAATATCCTTTAATAATAAAGGCAATTAGACATATATCTTAATTTCTCCCTCCTTAGTATCAAATCTATTATATAAATCATTAAAGCTAAAATCTTTGCATTACAAGTTACATTCTTAGACTCCTTACGGGACTCTTTATATCTTTCCTAATTATCAAAGTTTTTACAGCTAAACAAATTTTATAATAAATCTTCTTATTTTTTTTATCTTTTCTTACATAATTTGATTCTACCACTAACTATTTTTATTATTAGTATATTTTTTCTTTGATATTCCAAGCACATCTTTTGCAACATTCTAAATATCACTAGCTATCTTTTTCTACATAGCATTAGCTTCTCATGCACAGATAAAATCTTAAGATCTAGAATCTTACTTTGAAAAATATTTTTCATAATATTCTTTAAATGTCCACATCTAATCTTAGAATAATGAATTATTTTATTTTTAATATTATGTCCTCTTCATCTTAAAGTCTAAAATTAATAAGTGATGTTGGGTGCATAAACTTTCACTCAGAATAACTTCACAATCTTTGCAATCTAAATAAACTTTTTTCTTATATTTAAATAATCAATATGAGTTTTATTATATCAATTCTTATAAATGATGAGATGCTCATCTCTTTTTTTTAAATAAGATATTTGCAATTACAAAATTATAAGCTAAAAAAAAATATAATATGGTCTTACCGCCTTCATTAGTTGCTCCAAAGTCATAGCCACCATGAAAGCTTTTAAAATCATCTATCTCTCTACCAGCATGTTCATTTAAATCTCCTCTTATAAAAACTCTTTCTTCGAAAGGTATCATTTGTATTAATTCTTCTAGGTTATTCTAAAGTTTTAATTTTGAACACATACAAACCTACTTAAGGAGTATAAGCGCTTATTATATTAATTATCTTAGGATCAATAATAATCTTTAAAACTATAATTCTATCTCTAATTCTATTAATTTTTATATCATTATCCTTTAAACTCTTATCGATAATCACATCTACACCATTTCTAGTATGACTCCTATGAGAATACCATAGTTTAAATCCTAAACTATTAATCTCCTTAGACTTCTCTCCAACCCATTTAGTTTCCTGAATGCAAAGAATATGTATCTGCCTATAGATCATAATATCTATTAATTCTATTAATTTACATGTAAGGGAACATATATTCCAAGTTCTTATCCTAATTTTAGTTTTATGGACTAGTTTCTTCTCTCACATCCATCCATGATGTGGAAAAACTTACCTATTTATCACTACACCCAGGCGCTGGCACAATAGTCCTTAATTGTCGTTGCATTCAGGGAACATCCTAGCATTAATACAATGTATTAAATGATTCATGTCATGATTATTCTATAAGTTTTATGATGGTTGTTGGCTACCTAACGTAACCATCCACTTTTCTCATCCAGGACTTGGGACATGATAACAACAATATTGGTTAGGTAATAAGGTCATTTGATGAAAAAATTACTAAATGCCCTTGAACCTAATAACATGTTTGAGTATTTGTTAGTGATTTGACCATTGGTCAAATAAATACCCACAAACAAAACTAAAAGATATGATAGTCATTTATATGTAATTATAAGTAACAAAACATATGAGAGGAAGATTTAATATTTACATCATTGACTAGACATTTACATGGTTCCTTTAAGTAATAGAGCATATACGGCTAACCATAGGCTATGCATGAAAAATGCACACCTTAGGGTCTACTAAGATCACTCTATGGTAAACTTTTGTTCAACCTAGCCTAAGATTTAGGCAAAGTTTTCTAGGTAAAATATATTAAGAGATAACTTATCAAACCATGTAAGGATTGAAAGTTAAATTTTACATTGATGTGAAGATGTACATGAGATATCTCTAGGACTACCTATAGATGTTAGAGGAATAAATTGTCTTGTGAATATGAGAATAAGAACAACTTCAAACTCATTTAATCATGTAACTTGAACTAGTGTTATGGTTTTGACATTTTTATAATCAACAACCTTGCCAGCTCATAATGAGTGGGCAAAGCCACACAGTATCATGTGGATCCATCAGCTCTAACTCAATTGATCCCCTACTCACAATAATCAACACTTATACAATTTTGACCCTATCACATACATCTTTACATTTCACCTTTCATTTTATATGTTTTATCTATGGTCTATATTATAATTATTACTCCCCTATTGCAACATATTAGGTATTTGTTCACAATAAATTAATTTATAATATTAAACATCAAATGAAGTCGCTCATTTTTATTAATGCTAAATTGATTTGTTGGATTTTTGGGATTATCTAAAAGAGTAGAGTAGAAATTCTAGTGAGTGAGATTTTCTTATTATGATATATTTTTTCTTTCTCATCTCAAGAGCTTTTTCCTTAACACTTTCTTAAAATTAATTGGAGATGTACAACATTTTCATTATTATATATTAGGCACATATGGATGATTTTTAATCAAAATATAACTTACTCGAATCTTTTTACTTACAAAATATGACCGATAGACCTCCTTTTATAGAACACAAAAACAAATAACTTGTTATCATTTCTAACTTGAGAAGAGACGTGCTAGTATTTGATTACATATCTCCACGCTACAAATATAGGATCTATTTGAAATAACCTAATTGACTATATAGCCTTGAATCATTCAAGGTCACAAATTGACCACCATATCACCTTCTGAACTTGACACCTCATAAGCCACCATCTTTTCTCTCCTACTAAAAATGAATGTTCCCCATCCCTATTCTCTCATTTGACTTGATAAAAGCATTTTTTTCATAATGGTACCTTAAATTCTTCAAAACCATAAAAGCCTTCCCTATCCCAAACATAGGAAGCCATATTTTCATGACTATTTGGGTTTCATGTAATGGATTTTTTTTTTTTCTTTAATGAATGAAATACAACCATTTTCTTTCACTAAGTGTGATTATTTTTATGTAATTTTCACCTAAGAAGACTTGTGTAAACATAGAAGCTCTTTGGGAAAGTATTTCTAAAAAAGAAGGCCAACGATCATAAATACTAAATTGCACAACGACTAATTTTTGCTTTGCTAATCATTATTATTCTTACAATTATATAACTATATATCCCAGTTTTAATTAGCATAATATCTTGCATAACCATAATCCATCACTAATGAAGAGGCTCTTTACCAATCCTTTAGTTAATGAACCAAAAAAAAAATTTACTATACAATTACAATTTTGGTTCCATATATAAAAACATTTCAAAAAATTAGAAGCGCGACTATTAGAAACATTAAAAATCTTATTAGATAAATCATAATTTTCAACACAACACAAATAGAAAAGCATCTCAAACATATCAAATCAAAATGTACACCCCACCAAACTAAATTGGTTTCATCAAATCAGCCTAAATTAATTTGATCAAACTCCAAACAAAGTACGAAAGATTAATCCAATTAGCCAATCCATCACGGGCTTAACCAAACCTAACTCAACCCATCCATCCAGAATCCAAGTAATCTGACCCAAACCGAACCAAATCAAGTTGGTTCAATCAAGCCGAGTTGATCACCTTCATCTCATGAGCAAAACTGGCAGAAGTTGTAGCAGTCAATCAACCATTTAGGCCTAAAAATTGCATGACTCACAGGACCGAACTGCTCAACCCTGTAAATCCAAAACAAGACCAACAGTGTTTGTTGCAACAACAACAGCTAAATTAATTCCCATATCAAAATATTAGATCACTTCAAATGCCAGAGAACGATTTAACCAATGAGAACAACAGATTTAATATAAATAAAATGAATCAGATGCCTCATATCTACTCTCTCATATCTACCAGATTTTAAATAGCAAAAAACATAACAGTAACATAACTCATGGCGCAAAGGAGGAAACTAAGACATTATATTCCAACAAACGCTTTTGGAAATGAGCCAATCGTGCCTGCAAATGGCCAATTCCAGTAGCCTTCTGCGAGAGAATGGTATTTAATCTGGATATGTAACTATCTAACTGATTACCAGGCTGATCTGCTTCTTCCAGCAGCTTCATCTCCTAAATAATGGAAGCAAGATGTTTATTTCATTAGATGATCACAAGGCGTGATTTTGCTTTAAAAAAGAAAAACTCACATCTCTAATAATATCCATTGTCTCCTCAACCTGTCTTCGATGAGCTATTACCAGGTCTTCCTCTTCCTGCATTGAAATACAAAACAAAATTCTGAATCTGAAACTAAAGGATGAAATGCAGTTATGAATATCGGAGAATACCTTTAGAAGGTCGTTCAAATCATTATCTGGATTCAGAAAATTATTATCTACATCAATGGCTTTCCTTTGTCTTGCCTGGGCTGCAACTCTCTGTGTCTTGTTCTCAAAACCCGGAGCTGGATATGACTCTGCCTTCCTCGAGGACCGATTATCTGGCTCATAGGCCCCATCAGATAAATCATACTCTTCAGGTGTACTCGAACCTCTACTTTTACTGGAATGATTAGAATAAAAAGATACTAGTTTTCCATCTTCTCTCCCTGTAGGAACAGGATCTACAATGAAAGAAGGTGGTACTTTCTGGATTTGTTTGGTCCACCCAAATCTGTGCGATTCATAAGTTGCCTCGTTGTTGCTACTTTCAGGCATAGAGAGATTTGGCAAAACTGAAGAGAGGGGAGCAGCAGTCGACTCCCTTATGTTGAAGGAGGCTGAAAGTTCCTTCTTGGGGTTGCTGCCCTTAGATAAGCTCTTCACCCTGATTAAATGGTAAAAATCTACACATGAAATTAAGAGAAAGAGAAACTAAAATTGCTCAAGACATGAGTGGAAAAAAGAATCACCTATCAGCATATCTCAATGTGTTCAAAGTGTGTTCACATGATCCAGAGCTTGGAGAAATACATGAAATCATAACTGTGCGAGAGTTTCCCATGAATGAGTCCCTAAGAACTTCAGTCAGTTTGCTCCCTCTAAAGGGAATATGAGTTTGGTCGTTATCAAGAGCTCTAATGCATTCTTTCAAGGCAAGAAGACTTTTGTTGATCTCAGCACCTTCTATTCTGCAGCAAAAATAAGATTTTTAATAGCTAAAGTTGATATTACTTAAATGTTCCATTGCTTTATATAACGGGAGGTAAGAAAGGAGGACCTTGTCTGCTTGTCATTATCAGTAGTGTCTGCACCTCGTTCACTGCCAGCTAAATCTATGAAGGATAGCTTGCCGATGACTCGAGCTGGTTTTAATTCACTACCATCAACTAACTTCTTAATAGCAAGCTGGAGTATAGCATGAGATCGTGAGGATTCTTCATTTGCGCCGGTTGTACCAGTACTTCTTGTAGCATTCCCCTTCTCAATAAGTTCCCTAATGGTCTCAACATTGGACACTCGAAATTCTTGTAAACCTACTATGCAGACTTGCTGCTTGCCATCTTCCCGCATGCAAAGCTTTCTGATAAAAAATGGTGAGAGTAGCCGATTAAAAGAACATAACGTGATAAATAAAAACTACTAACAAAATCAAATACACCACATTAAGAACATATCTTTCAAACAAACCTTCTATCACTTAGTAGATCATAAACCTTCCCGCCATATATTTCAAAGAAACTAAAAAATAACTGCAATCCTTGGTTCCTATATGCACGGTTCATTAGTCTAAGGATATCCTGCGAAGCTCTTAGGGGAAGTGGCTGCATAGTGTAGGTCTTCCCACTACCTGAAACGAAACACTACTGTTATTTAATAAGATTTTACACCAAAAATCAGCGCTTGCAGTGGTTTGCAAATGTTGCAATCAAGGTCTCAGTATTATTAACTGATCATATATTTTTAAAGGTTTGCATGCCAAGACTACACTTGAGCTCCAAATAAATTATATAAAAAGATAAAATAAGTGATTACTTTAAAGCATTTAAAGCATACTCACAAAAATATCCAGAAAGGAAACAAACCATCATATGCAAGGCAGAAATGACCAAGGTTCACTAATTACTAAAGCCACAGAAATGACCAGCAAATGGAAAGGCAGGAGAGCATTTGAGGATAATTTAATTCTGAACTATTAAATGATGTGCTTGACATCAAAATCAGATGGTAAAAGCATGTGAAAAAAACCAAAACCAAAATTGCATCACAAAAATTACATCAGCTCGCTATGTAATAAAAAAGAAAAATAAATGACTAACGAAATCAGCAGCCAGAATTTAACAGCTATTAATATCAAAAGAGACCTGCAAGTATATTGATTATTTTTCAATGAAAAACCTACAATATCAAACCGTAATCCTGTAAACTGCACCAAAAGGTGTCTAGTGATAATAAAACAGCAATAAAGATCAGAACATAATAAGTGCACTGCAGGTGTGTCTGTCAAACTGTCATGATCGACACCATTTCTCGGTTTAATATATTGAAAAACTAAAAACCATCCTATCACCAAATGGTAAAAGTTGCTTATCTTGTCCATCAAAGCGAACATCAGAATGAGTATGGAAGTTCATTCCAAACAACCAAACATCTGAGCATAGTTGGGTGTCACTTCTCTTGCTTCCAAGCCAACCAAATTGGACCAAAGCAAAACTGAATGCACCATGGGACTACCATGAAAAAGATTATCTGTAACAAAAGTTACAGGTGAAAACCGATCATGAGCAGAAGTTTAAAAGATGCATTGTCTTCCTAATTGGCCAAAAACAAGCGCATAAATGAGCTAATGGGAAACTTAGTAGGACTAATAATAACGTCATCCATAGTAGCAATTAAGAATTCAAAAATACTTGAAGAAGACACCTTTAAAGAAAAACTATGTCATATACAAAAAAGTCGGACATTTTTGTAGCTTACAGAATGATTGCAGCTTTCTGTGGTCTAGACAAAACAATGACAACCATGAGAAAATCTCTGAATAGGCATACAAGGGCTCATAAATCATATGATCTTCCAGTTTCTCATGAAAATATTATTTCATAGTAGTCCATTTCAGGACAAATTTTTAATATAATTTAGATTATAAATCAAATTAAGTAAATAATATTTAAAAAAAATTAGAATGTAGTTTTTTTTTATGTCTTAATTTTTAAGTGTAAATAATTTATTTATTTTTTAATAAATAATTTAGAATGAAGTTTTTTTTAATAAGTTATTGTGACAAAATTTCAAGATATAATTTATCATAATCCTTTTAAAAATACATTTTTTCATATTTTATTTATTCATGATATATTTTTATTAATTTTAATTTAATTTGGAGATACCATGCGTCGTTTTGGTTTCTCAATATTTTCTTTACTGAGTTCTCTAAGGCTAGACTGTGCTTCTAGGTTAGGCTGACTTGTTGTGTTGTTGGCATGTGATGTGCTTATTGTTTCTCTTCTTTGATTCAACTCCTTACTGGGGGGTTTTCCATGTATTTTCCTGCACGTTTCTTTTGTGTGTCATGACTTCTTGCAATAACTACACCAAAGGGAGTCTTTATTTTTGAATTTTGCAGAGTCATTACCTTTCTCCTTCCATGGAGCTTCCTTGGTTACCATTGCTGAGCCTTCAACAGCTTTTGGCTCCAACATTACACCTCGTTGGCTTTCTTCAGCACGGATAATAGCTATTATTTCATTTAGTTATGGTGTCTCCTCTTTTCCAAAGATCTGGACTCTTGATCGAATTCGGCATTTAGTCCTGCAAGAAAATCATAAACTCTATATTTTTCAATAAAGTTCTTCAAGCTGTAGCATCTTCTGGATATTTGGTCTCGATGCATCTGTAGTGATCCAATTTTTTCCATAGGTTTTATAGGATAGTGACATACTCTGTCACAGTTTTGCTTCCTTGTTTCGTGCTTCCTACTTTGATTTTGAGTTCAAAGATTTGAGCAACATCATGAGCTTTTGAATAAGTTTGTCTAACGGCATCCCATATAGCCTTTGCAGTGGAAAGAAACAAAAATGTCTCGCTAATTTCTAGAGTCATAGAATTCCACAACCATGACATAATTATGAAGTCTGCTTCATCCCATGTCCAAAAATTAGGATATCCTATTGGTCCGAGGAGGAGGTGATGTATTTTTCCTTTCCCTTTTAAGTAGGTCTTTATAAATTGATATCACTTTAAGTTGTTCTTCATGTTTAGACGATAGGAAGGTTGCATGCTTTGGAGATCACCTCGTCCTTGGTGCACCAAAGGATCCTCAAATTGATCAGTGCTTGGAGAAGAATTAATTTCTAACATTTTTTAGTCAAATGATAGTAATGAAGACTATCTGTTTCATTCTGGACAACAATGAAGGCTTCCAAAAAATAAGATCCCTCTGATCTTAAATTGCGACAATAAAGGCCGATGATTTTTTTTTTTAAATAACCGACCAGTCCAAGTCTTAAAAGGACTTAGATCGGATAGCTAGGGCATGCAAGTAGAAGTCGGCTTCGGATCGAGAGCCTTTTTGGCTCTTTCGTGTGATTTCGTCCCCCAGGTCGCTAGCAGGAGTTGGCTTTGTGATCGATTCTTCCGGTCGGTCCTTCCAGACGGGTGAAGGAGTCCCATGTGTGTGCCTTCCGGTCGGCTAGGGCCTTCTACGACAGTGTCTATCTTCGGCAAAGCTCTACTCCGTTGTCTATCAACAAGGTTTCGTCCGCGGGGGGCTCCGTCTGCAGCGTCCGTCTTCGGCAAGGCTTCATCTGACATCTGCTGGCAAAGCTCCGTCCGTAGGTAGGCTCTGATTTCTTCTTTTTCTCCACCGACAATCATGATCGTTCTTTAGTGGTAATGAAGGTCGTTGTCTCTGATACTATGTGAAAAACGAGAGGTTTGGGAAGAAAAAGTTTGATTTTATTATGCATAATCATCCCTATTTATAGATCTATACAGGTTGTCTAAGGCTGTCTTAATAGAGAAATAAATAATTACAGAATAATGACTAATTGCCTTCATATAATCCTTCCTAAATCATATTCCTAGCTTATGGAAAGTGTTTCAACGTGGGCTTCCCACGGATATTTTATTTAAAGCCGTGAGATCCATCTGAGAACGTAAGGTTGAGATTTAACAGAAATCATAAGAACCATTAACGTGAAACATAGCAATACTTAGTTGATGATTACGAAGATATCCTTGTACTTGATGGTCAACAAGACTATAATGCTAATCAAAAATATGGATGTAGTTTATGGAATTGTCTTTGAATGGTACATTATGTTTGAATTTCAAGTTACATTTACCAAAAAAATATTTGTGAAATTTGCTTAAATAATTTGGCATATATGATATTACTCATTACTAGATAGTTCAAGATGTATGCTCTTTGGGATAAACCTTTCTCATCCATCTTTTATCTGAAAATGATTGAACAGCACAATGACTTTTAAAAAGGAATAAAAAATATGATTAATTACTTTAATAGGTTTGATAAATCAATCATTAGATGTGTGATAGGAGAAGAAACATGGGTTATCTTGATTAGATTAAACAAGTGTCATAATAGGCATATAACCTTAAGAAGCGAACCTCTACTCAATTGGATCCCTAAATTAGACTTTCCATATAACCTTAAATACTTGAATCTATCACGAATATCTTTATGCTAAACTAAAACTGCTGTCATTACCAGGAGTGCGCCTTTAGGACCTAAGGGTGTTTGGTTAGGGCTTGAGTCAACCTTAAGCCAAATTTACTCTCTAAGCCTAACCAGAGAACACATTTCGACCTAACTTAAGCCAGGCAATTTAAAGCCTAGTGACACCGGACCGGAGGGGGCTCGACGAATCCACGTCGACGATGCGGTGGCCAGGGCCGAGCAAGTCTCCAAGAACTCCTTCTTGGAGAAAGAATCCACCACCTAAGATCAAATCTTAGGATACAGGAATCCAAAGCAACAAGGCAATAGCCTTCATTTTCTTTATTCTCTAAAATTTGCCTCTTTATGTAGTCATATAAACTATCAAATGGATTAAACTATCCTGAAGTTAATACAATTAATGGCTCAGCTCCGGCGTCATTCTACTAGGGTAGGAGGAAATTTAGGCACGTGGAAAGATGTTTGGTTGGCCATAAGAAGGCGGGTTTGGTTGGCTAAATCGGTCTGGATAGGTCCATCTGGTATCGACTTGCCTATCAATCTTCAATCTCTCAAGAGTAGCATAAGAAGATGGAATACTTGTGATTGAGAAAGCATCTTCATCTGTTAGATTGTCACCAATATAAATATGCAACACGTCCTTACAATATGCGAATTCAAGAGACTTTAACAGGAACTCCATGGCCCTCCCTTTATCCCATTTAATAATGGAGCGAATTTCTAACACCTTTCTTCTTGGAGTTAGCCGTAGCTTTGGGTACTCTTTCAACACCGATTTAACAAGATCGGCTAAAGCTCTCCATCTCATGTCATCCACACATCTAAAGTGGACCGACACACAGAACTTGTTGTTCTCCACCTTGAGTTCAGTAACATCCCAGCCATCATGAACACATTCAAATGCAGGATTCATGGCATTAACATATCCCGTGCATTTGTCTCCATCATTATTCTTTTCTGCAATGAACTCTTGAATTAGCTTGCTCTTATAATCATCACAGGCGTATCAACATCAAGAACTTCACAAAACATGTCGTCATTGTACACGCATACACAGGTTCATCAAAGATAGGCAAAGACGAGGATTTCGACAACGGATCTTCAAATTCTTTGAAGTTAAACTCGATCGAGGGTGGGGTGGAAGAGATTTG